CATGAAATTCATAGAAATAGTATACAGAGGTAAAACGGATTGTGACATTCAGCTGATACGCGCTCATGCATCAATGCAGTATAGGCAAGTCAGACACTCTCGTCCTCCATTTATATACTCTTGATATAATTAAAATCGTAAAAATTTTCGGCACGCTTTGCGTGCCAAGAAGTCAACCTGACCACATTCAATCTAGTGGCTACAGCCTTGCATACAAGAAGCTAACAGAAACAGAACAAGTCGCTATTGGTGAATGGCTCCACTAAAGCTGCTAAAGGGCAGAAAATTTGCTGAAGACTGTAAATATGTGGTCCTGTTGCCATAGCAACGCTCTATTAGTTTCTATGCTACTTCACTACACTTTTATTATTGCAATTATTAGCAGCCGTGAATATTACGTACAGTAATGAAATAGTCAGGGGGGACCATGTGGGTAGGAAACGGGTATAAATCTAATTGGAGTGGCCTAAATATAATAGTAGTAAGACACGGCCATGCATGGTCCATGGAAGCCACTCCCTAACCGAGGCTGCCTATACATGCAGGGGTGGATCTGGGTCAAGTTTCATGGTAGGGCAAGGAAGTGGGTGGGGCATTTATAACTTTCAATAAGTAGTTATTAACTATTAATAACTTGTAATTAACTTTTTATAATAATTATAATGAATTAAGACAAAATGTTGATCTGTTCTTCAGGCCCGTAGCCAGGGGGGGTTCGGACGAACCCCCTGTTGTAGCTGCAAAAAAGTTGTAGATTAGCTCCTGTCATGAAGAACAGCACTGCAAAAGCAGGATTAGCATTTTGGCAACAGCAAGAAGCACAGATGGCCATTTTAGCTGAGTCAGCACATGGCTGAGATGAGTAAATTAAGACCACGCCTACCAACCACACCCATTTTTTGTCACAATTTTTGCTGCGCGCTTTGCGCGCAGCAATTTCCGAACCCCCTGTTTTAAGTTCCTGGCTACGGCCCTGTTCTTATCTCCGTTTTCAAATGTGTTCTTATCTCCACTTCTACCTGTACTGTTCCACTGCTTTGTGGATGAGAAGATAGTTGGTTGGGGCCGTTTAAAATTGTAGTTAAGAAGAGACAGCTGCTACTGTTTAAGGCCCACCATTTAACATACCCATTAGTCTCGCCCCACCCCTTCGCTTACCTGTGGAGGAAGGATCTGCAAGAGATGTTCAAGGGACAATATCCTCAACTTTTCTTAGCTGCAAAGCATCTGTTTCAGCTATTTTGACCGATCTGGTCTCCTCTGTCACATGATGTAGTTCAAGCACGTGTTCTTCTTTGCACACATTTTAGATGGCAGTGCACGGTCTCCAGACCCTTCCTCCAGCTCTGCAGGTAGCAAAGGGGTGTGGTGAGACTACATACCCATAAATGTATAAAACAGACAATTTATTTTATATATTTACCTTACTTGAAGAGATTGAAGTAATGAAGAGAATGAAGGCAAATTGAAGCATAAATACAAAACTCTGTAAATACAAAACTCTGTGGATAAGTAATTAATAAAAATTATTTACGTTTATCATTTTACAATAATTTCTCTCACTTCAAGGGAATCTTGGTGTAAGTAGATAGGGTGTTTAGGCAAGCACATCATCTCAATCTCATCATAGATCAGTCAGTAACGGAGAGTCGGAAACTATAAAAATAATACTGAGCATGCGCAGTTGGATGCATCAAAATGGCGTCCAACCACTTGGTGAGTCAATATGTGCTTAAAAATGACGACAAAATCATTTTGTAGAATTACAATGCCAAGCCACACTACACTAGCGTCCCTAAAGTGCAACACAATGGTGCAAAAATGATATTTCTAGGATAAAAACTGTAGGACTAGTTCTTCCTTAACTGTGGAAGAAGAAGGAGAAAGCTGAACATTTGGTGCATGCAGGCATGCATGCATTCATTTGCCGTATAACTATCTTATGGAAGTTTTTAACTTCTTTTTATAACACTAACCTGTTCTAATATAATTATAAAGGACATCCTGACTGTCAGATAAGCTATAAAGAATTCCTGAAGATTTACACTGTCACTGGCTCAATGCTTCTGGGATGGCAGCCATTTTGGGGGTGCGCTCGTCCAACTCAACCCTACATACCAAGCGCTAGCGCTTGGTAATAGAAACAAATGGAAAAGAGAGGTATCTTAAAGGACTCACTGAATTAACAGAGAGCTTAGAGTTATAGATCTATTAAAATTTAGAAAAATTAGAAGAAAAAGGCCTATAACAGAACAATTACTACAAAGACATCTAAATTGAAAAGTGCATGCATTACTACTAATAAAAGAGTTTAAACAAGCGTAACTGGGTAAAAAGTATTCCATAAAAATTTCTTCAATTTAATACAATTAGTATTGGGAGAAAGTATTAAATCAAAAGAGGAGAGGCTGTTCCATAGCTTGGGGAGACGGCAGAAGTACGAATTGGATGTCTGAGAGGACCGGGAGAATTTATGGCATAGCTTCATGTAGCCACCTGATCTAGAGTTTGAGTGAGAGAGGGAGACAAAAGAGAGTATATTAAATGAGCCTGTGTAGCTTACATCTGAGCTATGGTGTAGACATCTGAGTGCGAAGGAAATATTGAGGTATTTGAAATACATGGATAGAGGTAAAATACCTAGAGTAGTGAGTTGTGACCTGTAACCTGAAGTATAGTCAGATAAAATATATTTAGTGACTCGTCTTTGAACTTTTTCAAGTTGCTTGATACCCTTAATGGTAGTTGGACGCCAAATAGGGACACTGTAGGATAATATGGAGCATACTAACTAGTACTTTACTACTTGCAACTGAATTGTGTAAGCATATCCACTTGAAGTTAGCATTTTCTAGATTTTAATTAAATTTCATTAAAGTACATGCACCTCAATTATTACCAAATTTTTTATATCTTTTTTGTCAAAAATAGTTACAAATTAATTATCATTAACATTGTTATACTTGAGTTTATTTTGACTGATATAGGATATTAACATCAAATCAGCAGAATTAATGTACTTTATATTAAATACTGTACTATTATGATTATACAGTGTATATACTATACAGTTTTGTTTCAATTGGTATATTGATTAGCTGTACTTAAATTTGATGTCTTTGTTAAAAGAGGCAATTGTACACATTAATTTTGTTATTGTAAATGTATTTAATTTAGGCTCCTATTTCTTGTTTGCCACTCTCTCCTCTTTATTTATTATATCCTTTCTTTTTTCTCTTTCCTTTTCTCTCTGTATCTCTTTTATGTCTATAGTACACACACCATAGCAGTTTTATAATAAGCATTCACCGGTTACATGCATGGCCTGACCCATCACCATGAAGTCATTATCATTGGAGGAGATTGTTTGATCAAACCACCATCTCGTTAATACAGGAATGAAGGAAAATAAACAAGAGGTATTATACATTAATGTTAGGTTATATACCATTAAGCTTGTGCTTTAAGAATGATATTTTTGCTGTCATAAGTTCAGCTAGCTTGCTCTGAGTAGTAAAAGAATATTTTTTGAAATTTTTTTGCAATTACATGGTAATTCACATAAGTTTTGCCACCAGAAAATAGTGTATTTTGGCATTAATGACTTGTTTTTATTCTGTGGAGCATAGGGAAAATTAAGCTTGCTTGTTTGATAAAGTGATAGCGAAGTTGTAAATTTCTTAAGCTTTCTGACTTCTAATAACTCAATTTGTTAAATTCACAAAAATTAATTTATATGAATGAGTTTTTATGCTTTACGAGTGTCTCGAAGATATCCTCGAAGCGTGGCCTTTCATCATCATTTTGTTCCCAGCAGTTTACCATTAATTGTTGAAATGGTTCAGGACAATCCTCAGGTATGATCATACGATAACCTTGTGGTACTGCTTCTACTACTTCGACATTAGTCATCCCAGGGTATGGTAGATTTCCTTTGGTGACCAGTTCCCATAGTAGTATACCAAATGACCAAACATCAGATTTAATACCCAGTCGGTTTAAGGTGTGCCATTCAGGTGCTGTCCATCTTATAGCTAGCTTAGTTCTTTCCTCAATAATCCAGTATTTATTGCCGTTGAGGTGTTGAGCAAAATGAAAGTTTGCTATTTTGACTGTGTTATATTCTCCTACTAGTATATTGGCAGCTCTTAGATCACAATGAATGTAATATTGTTCTCCCAAGTAAATCATACCATTAACAACTTGAGCTGTAATGTATATTAACTCTGCTGGTGCAAAACTATATCTACTGAGATGTTTTTTAAGGTTTCCATGATTCATTAGCTCTGTTACGATATAGAAAGGATATTCTTTAGTGCAAACACCATATAGACAAATAATGCTTTCATAGTTGAGTTTTTTCAATATGTTGGCCTCTTTCAGAAATCTTTCTTGTGTAATATCTGCTGTTATATTTGTCTTTATTAAAACTGACCCTTTATTATGCCAATAACCCATAAATATTTCACCAAACTCTCTAATATCTGTGCAATTCATAACTCTAATTGATGATTTCTCAATTTCCCACCTTTCATCTCGTTCGATGAGTCTATTCACTGGCTTAAAAACTGGAACTGTTAATGTACAGGGCAGGTAATCAGCTATTAGCATGTAGTACTGTAACAATTCATTCAGGGAATTAAACTTCACCTGATCACTGATACAGTATGTATTATTGTGATTGTATAAAAGATAGTGTAAGATCGATCCTCTAAAATTAAGCGAGAGGGAACATGATCCAGGTCTACTTTCACTCTCTCTAATTAGGAAAGTGCCTGATTGAGTGTCTGCTTGACTGAGTCTCTCTTCTGCTTCAAGACGACTTACTATATGATAGTAGACACATTTGTAATGCCTATTAATTGAAGGAAGTAGAAATTATTTGTTACATCCATAGAGTTGAATTAAATATATGTAAAATGAACTACATACACAAGAGTATCCATGCTTATAAAATTATTCTCACTTCAACATGTTTTCATCGTCAATTGGTACTATGTACATGTAATTACTTGGAACGTATCCTTTATTGTATGTATTTAGTGAACACATGTACCACTTTTTATTGTCACTATTTTCAATAACTTCAAGTACTTCTCCTATCAAAAAAGCATGCAATGGGCATAATTTTTTATTTACTAATCTTGCCTTTTTTAAAAGATAAATCTTGTTCAGTATATGCTTGGCGGTAGTAAATAGCCACAAAAACTATAAATATTGTATTGTAATAATTTCATCTCTTTATACTGTATAGTGGAAAATTTTTGCAATCCAAAGCTTTGTGAATCCATCCAAAGATATATTTTGTGACTTTAATTTCTGCAATTTTCTACCATTTTTAGCCATGTTAAACATTATTTAATTGATTTTTTACAGATTTTGTGAATTTTTTGAAAACACAAAATTTGCAAAAATGGGACGACAAAAGTTTCCACTATTATGATAACTTACATTTGTGCTGCTTAAAATTTTGTGTCCTTAGTAACTGTAGAGTGTGATTATCATCAGCAATTATTTTTATAAAATGCTTTGCTTTCTCATCATCACTGATTGTTTCATCAAGGAGTATCGGTGGAAGTGGCAGAGTTTGATTGGTCATTGCAAATTGAAACAAGTGAAGTGATTCTAATAACGAAGGACCAACACAACTAATGGGAACAGCTCCCTTCTGACCAGTCTCCAGTGACTGTACCTCATACCCATTCTTACTTAACTGAAATATTTCACCCTTTTTGAATGAGATAATTGTGTTATTATAATCAGCTTGTGCTACACAAATAGATCCACTTGACGATAATGTTGTTTGTGTGAATACATGTGTTAGCTTTTCTTTATCTATAATTGATGTGCAAATAAAAAGTATTTATAAAAATGCTTACTGTTCAACAACTGTACACTAATAAATGATATGCTTTCTTGTAGTTTCTCAATCTCTTGTTCATTGTGCTGTAATGCTTCCTTTTGTACTGTTATGATGTACATGCATATTATTAGAAGCAAATAAAGTGTAACATACTTATTCTGACCCTTAGAGTCGACTGTAAATGTTCATTTTCTCTTAATAGCATTCGCTTTTTTGTACTTGCAGATTTTTCTCTTTCAATTTGTTTCAACTTTAGCTTATAATCTATACAATACAGTAAAATGTGAATATTAATTTAATGCTCAAAATATTTGTACTATACCCGATGACTTCATAGTGCTACGAATGAATTCTGTTTTTAAATAAATAATTATAAGTTAATAAGTCAGTGTAATTATATATCTACCTTGATTTTTTATTAGAGATAAAATTTTTGGTGCTTGATTATTTAGGAGATCTAATACAGGTTGTAATAGCAATAATTTTTATTTTAATTTATACTTTTATTGTCATCATTGTATGGATTCAGCTTTTGTATTTCTCCTTCACACATTTCTATCTGCTCTGCAATGATTTTTTGTTCCTTGAAAAAGTAATGAAATTCATTAATTTTTATTGTTATTAATTACTTTCTTTTTGATCATTATGTCATATACAGTGTAGTGTCCAATTTTTAATCGCATCAAATCAAATTCTTGTTGCAGTACAGAAAGATTATCACGAACCCTCAATTGCAAAGCATTTATTAGATGACCTGGAGCACCACAAATGATGATGATGGAGTTGCCTTTATGCATGCTTTTGACTATGATCCTTCTGCTCAATCCTTTGAATGCTTTCTCCATTAAACGACGAATATCATTCAATAAGTGCTCAGCAGGATCCCAGTCTAGAACAAACTCAATTGTTTCACAAACAAGAAAATCACTTGTTGACAGCTTTTTATCAAGCAGGAATTGAAGTTTGAATGTGCAACAAAACTCATCAACTGTTACTTTATAATCTGTTATCAATGGCTTAGCTTCCTTTATGCTGTAAAAGCTTACAACTTCCTCTACTGGAGCAATATTGATGACATTGCACTTGGTTCTAATAGCTTTCATTACATCTTTCACTGTAGCAGCAGAGGCTAGGTTGGGACCTAGCTCAGGATAGCAATCATCAACAAATTCTATGAACTCTTCAAGAAGGTTCACTGTGATAGTGCAGGATATCAGTCGAGTGACTTTGAAATAGAACGATCCGAAACCACCTCTCATTTTGTCAAAATGATAAGTATATTCCTCTGAAATCTGAAATTCAAATTCTATGGCAGATAATTAATTCTCATTGATAACAATAATACCTGTCATTTGAACTCTTGTTTCTTCAATGGCACTTGATATCACAGGATCACTGTTGTCTTCAGGTGCACTTTCAGATTCAAAAATAACATCCTCTGAAAAAAACATACCTAACTTAATAATTTATTTTGTCTTTTTTTCTTACCACAATGCCTCATTAACTCATTGGCCATATTGGCAGTGTCTTTTGTTTTAAATAAAATTAGAGCAAAGGACTTTAATTTATTATGATCATTTGCTACTGCTGTGTATATTTCTTTCATTGTACCATCGAATAGTGTGTGTCCGCAACTCTTCACTTCCCTCATTGTCTCTTCAGATATCAGTCCTTCTGTATGTAACAGATCAACTGATTCCTCCGAGAGTATTGCTTGAGATATTCTACTACTGTAATGCTGTAGTAGTTGGCTGGCAGGATCAACCACTAGAAATTAAGCATTTGACATTTATAGTGACTTGAAATTGATTTTACTTGTTTTTTGAACATTTTCAGCAACTGTTGTTACATTTGATCTTCTAGTAGCAATAGCCAATGATTGCCAGGTAAGAGGATACACACTTTTATCAGATTTACTCAGCCACTTTGTCAAGCACTCCATCAGGCAACGTGAAGTATTTCCTCTATGAGTAGCCTCAATAGCTTCCAGTGTAGGATGGAGCAAACCTAAATTTAAACCCAATTCGAACCATTTTGCCTCAGGAAACTTATATTGCTTTAAAATCTGTACGATTTGACTTAACTTGCTAATATCTAATGATAAAGTAAGCACTTAATGCAAAAAATACAGATTAACCTACCTAATATTATAGGAAATGTTCCTACTACTGGTTTGCTTGCTGCCATTTGTACTTTTTATTACTATGCTATGGCATCAGTTTGTATTAGGCTTAATTTTAGCTTTGATTTTGTAATGGGAATTAGGTCAACATTATGCTTTTTACACCTTGTTACACAGTTTATGTAAACAGTGTATATGCTTGTATTTATACAAAAACACAACACTAAAAAAACAACCATGCTACAACATGTATCAATTTAGTTTGACGTCTCTTTTCATGTTAGATACAGCCTTGATTAATATGTGAAATTTTGATGGCATTGATATATATATATATATATCTCATAATTATGAAATCATCCTTTGATGTGGCCGGGTTTATATTTTTGTATATATACCTGCCATTCAGAAATGCTGTCATCATTATGAAATATATCTTATATGACATACTAAAACCTGTCTATATACAAAAATATAGA